GAGGGGTTTTTTTTTGTTAAAAGTAAGTAACAGAAAAACAGCAGGAATCAACGTATAACTGAGTCATCCAAGTAATGGGATTTCATTACAATACCACTGAGTACTTGTGAATTTATCTGTCATGTGTTTTGTTGCTGTGTACATTAACACCTCAGCTTTTGGTTTTCATCTATTTTAAATTCTTTTGCTAAGATTTATCCGATATGTTCTCACTGGATCGTGAATATCTAGTCAAAATAACTTTATTTCCATAAATGAAGTCCCTGTAAAATATGAAGAATGTGTGACTTTGCTCATTGTAACCTCTGTTTATACGAAAGCTACAACAGACACGAAAAGTCTGAGACAAATGAAAAGTTTTTGAAAGAAAATACACATAATCGAACTGTATTTTTTATAATGTTGATTTACAATTACTAATAATTTTAAATGTTGATTATTGACTAGTAAAAACTTTCTGGAATAAAGTACATGCAATTTGTTTTCACCATTTACTATGATAAGTTTCTTACGTTCTACTATTCATACCAATCTGAACCAAAATCTTTTCAAATGCTGGCATTTATTTCTGGGTAATTCTGCTTCCACAGCCAGCTGCTATGAAAGTGAGGCGAATGTTGTACCTCAGGTCCAGTCCAGTTCAGTGTGCGGCACAACATTGTTTACTGCTGCTGGCTCTTTGCCTGCCCTCTGAGCAAACCACAACAAAGAATGTCGCAATGGCCACAACACACCATGAAAGCAAAAAACACATTTTATGATCTTAAAAAAAGATCTAAGCTTCCCCAGGAAATAGATTTTACTCATCACTTTCTTGTAACTTGGTGAACCTGCTGTACAATTATGAGACATTAGAGGGTTCTTTTGTGTGTGTGTGTGTGTGTGTGTGTGTGTGTGTGTGTGCGGGTGGGGTGGGGTGGGGGGTTTCCATTCAAGTCAATAGTCGTTGGATGTTGGTAGTAGCACCTTGGTGATTGATGCCCTTCACAAACCCTACACCGTCTCCCTAGTTGCCATTAAGCTATCTTCTTCCTCCTGACATCAATCACCTTCTTGCTCATCTTCAGTTTTGTTTAAGTTATTTCCACAGTTATCTCCTGGTACTTCCCCTCCTGCACTCCTATTAAACAACAATTCATCAGGAATGTAGTCAACCAAAAGACCAATGAGGCATTCAGGTCTTTATATTTGCCCCATTTAGTTTTACACTTTTAATGAGCCAAGAGTCTAACGACGGATCATAATAAAACCAGTTTATGCACAATGTTACAGAGCAATATGAAAACATTCAAAAGACAGAAAACAACTAAAATTTAAAGAAGAAAATGAATTTTCTTCAACTCTTCTAAATATTACAAGGAAAAAAAAGGCTGGATTTATTTACACAAAGCGTAAACGAATGATGGGTGATTTGAAACTTTTGCATAGCAGTGCATTGTAAAATCAGATTTGAACCCCATGAGACCCCGACGGTTAGAACATGATACTGGATGTGGTGAACTATTTCAGAATAATCTTGTCTCGTCTTCTCAGACAATGCTGCTTGTCACGGTAACACAACAGATGGTATCGATCTGTTCTGTTACTTTGCCATTTCCATTTCAGCTCCAATACTTTATGAACACAGTACAAGTCATATCCACTGAGTTTAAAGTTTCTGCACAAAAATGTGTACATGAAACTAAATTAGTCCCCGTACAAGAATCATCCAATTCTCAGAGACTACTGCTGTTTGCGACTCACAGTTAGCATAAAATAAATTACCTTCCTCTGAAAATTGGTGTTAGTCATGAGGCAGATCTTGGACTTTACAACCACAGACCAAACATGTCACAAAGGTATTCAGGCAGCTATGTTAAATACAGTTTCACAACACTAATTAATTGACATATATATTCTCAAATTTATAAAAGTAAAAAAAATCTTGCTCTATTATAAAACTATGAAATTAGACCACAAGCGTATACAAAGTTAGTGCAGGAAAAGTATTCTGATTTAAAATTATCTTTGTATTTTTAAATCTACTTGAATTTTAGTCATGTTGATAATTTATTTTTTTTCATTTATTGCATATGAGATTTTCTGGCGTTCTCTAAATTGATTCCTATTTCTGTTTTTTAGCCAAGTCAACATTATTTGTAAAGAACTTTTAATACAGCAGGCACTGACCAAAGTGCTGAACAAAAAGTAGTGGAACTAAAATTCAAGAAAAATGTTGAAACAGGAAAATACAATATGAAATACAAAATAGAATACATGTAAAGAAAATACTAATAAATGAACCACTTATATCAGATTGAAAGCTAAGAACAAGAGGTGGGTCTTAAAATCAGAATTAAAATGGTAAGCAAACAGGCTTTTCTAATTTGCAGTGGAAAAGCGTTCATTGACTTTAGGAGGCGCAACGGCACATCTGCACTGGAGGGACAGAAAACTCCCTCATTATATGGAAATCCAGCAGATGGTAATTAAGCCATGGAAACAAACTCTTTCACATAACTTTAGTGCCGTGCTCACGTGACATGATCCTAAAGCACATCCCTGCATCCTGACATTGTCCTCCGAATTACACAGTATGTAGATGCAAAAATGTGACAAGGATGCAAAAATGAATAAGCAGATTTGAATCAAGTGCTGCGTTTGCATGCAACAAGAAGCATGAGAAACGGTGAGATGATATAGGTCAGGTTTAGAGAAGTCATTTCAAATAGGTCATGCAAGGTTAACCATAACTTACACGTTTAACAAACCCCACATGCTGCAAGAGAAAAACTGCAAATATATATATATATATATATATATATATATATATATATATATATATATATATATAATCCACTTTTTAGATTTTAATTTCTGTCTGACCTTTTTTTTGTGGATGTTTTCTTTCTTCCCTTTTTGCTTTTGTGCTTATCTCCAAAATGCCAAACAAATAATTTCACGAGACCAAAAAAGGACATCTCAACACCATATATATGTATATATATATGTACTGTTTACATAGGAAATGGCTACCATGTTAGATTTCATAGAAATCATGTTCAAAGACAAGCAAACAGGAAACAGTGCGTCAACCCACTACGAGCGCAGTTTGTCCTTTGAAAATAACACCACAAGATTCACCCCTCAAGAGAGAAGTCGATAACGTTTAAGATGAAGAAGAGAAAATATCCGAAACATCACTTCTGACTGGTCATAAAAAAAAGAAAAGAAAAGAAAAGAATTAGTGCGATGTAAAGATCTGCATTTCTTCCACCGATAAAATCAACAAGCCTGTGGTTTTGGAGACGGAACATGCGAACCGGAATCGTTCTGTTTTACTTTTTCTTTCCAACTATCGCAAAGGGTTGCTGTGGGAAAAAACAACAACCGAGGATTTTGACAGGTACTCCTCCCGGCTTTTTATGAACGTGTCTAAAGATTCAAAGCTAGCGTGCAGGAACTTATAAACAACTGAACAATTTGGTCAAAGGAACAAAAAGAGTTTGATGCAGCTGCAAAGCTCCTGTCTGCAGATCAGCCGTTTCATCACTACAAAGCTGTGGAGGGGGAAGTCTTTGTGATGCCATGCGATCCATCTGAGAAGTCCCCTGTGAAGAGAGCCGGAGCTGACGACGGCAAAGCATGTGGGGAAGAGTTTGTGGCTAAAGATGCTGGAGAAAACAGAAGCTTCACAGGGTAACTCATGTGGTCACTGTAACAACATTCATTTTAACTGAAAGCTAGAGTTTAACTCCATTCACTAAAGTGCCTCGAACATTGGGTTCATGTTTATATGTTGTTCCTTAAAAACGTATGTTTTATTACGCTACATACTAAAAGTTTCTTGGTTAAAGTATTGTTGATCCCACCTCTCCAACTTGACTGTTGCTGCAGGTCAAATTCGACTCTGCAGGTCATCGCAAAAACCAGTTTGAGATGCTTCGAGCCTGAAGAGAGCAGCGTGATGCTGCTGGCTCACATTGAGGGACGCATCCCCTGTCCCGGACATGCCTGTTATAACAACACAGGTGTGGTTTGGTACAAGGTGAAGTACATACAAGAGCAAAGTGACAACCTCTCACAACACCCAAAACCACTTCCTTGCAGAATCCATTTCTGATTGTTTTTCACGACTGAGGTACTTCGCCAGTGCCAAATGGGAGCGGTGACATGCACCTATAGGTCCCAAATTCACTCCTGTATGCCTTCTTGCAGAAAAACAGACTCGTATCTATAGCGAGAGAATCCTGTGTTGAAGACGGGGAGCTTCATCTCTGCACAGTCTACAGAGAGGACACGGGTGTATTTTATTGTGACAGACGAATAACTGAGCAAGGAGTCACGTGGGTCTTCAGGAGGGCCGTCCACGTTAAAGTCATACGTAAGACTTTTCGATATTTCTGCTATAATTCAAAAACCTAATCTGAAGACGTTTCATGCATGTGCTACACCATGACTGCCACAGTGAATCACACTCATGTTAAGAGCAAAGAAACAAAAGTCTGAAAGTTTTGATTTATCATTAAGCACCTCCTCTGTACTGCAAAGCAGACATACTGCTCACACCTGTTCTACGAACACACAAAATCTGCACTGAAAAATCACAAGGTCACAGTTCTGCAAAATGCAATAGACAAAACAAATAAGTCTTACATTTTTGCCATGTCATTCAATAAATGAATTGACAAATGCATGCAACAACTGCGTTCAAGCAGAAACATTTTCTGGGTCTTTTAAACATAAATTTCCATGTCCTAGTATGCCTTTCAAGCAACACTCCACTTAAAGGATTGCATTTTATGCATGCATCCACTTGTGAGCAGGCTCAGAATCATTGCAAGAACTTCGAAAACCTTCATTATGTGGGCAGTATGTTGCATTAGCCCCCAAATACGGCAGCGATTTTTCCAGATCACCAAGTGTGAGACGTGTTCGTCATAACTGTTTGTTTTTATTTCCCCCAACCAATAAATTAGTTTTTGAAACTAGGAGGCCTCTTCTGCAGAAAGTGGTCGACTGTGTGGTTGCTGGAGCCTTTGCTCTGCTGTGGTAGATGTGTGGTGTCAAAAATACATAAAATATACATATTGAACATTATATATATATATATATATATATATATATATATATATATATATATATTTATTTTTTTATTGGAGAAATGCATATCATCTAAGAAAAACAGTACCTTCATAACCTTTTAAAATCAGATGTATTGGTAAAAAAAATATATATTAATGAGCAGTCAGTCTTTAGGTCTGAGGCAGAGAGGAAGTTTCAGAAATGCAAGATTCAGTTTTTCCACTGTTAGCGAGAGCGCTCATGCTCATAGCATACTTTGTGGTTTTCCTTTTCCCACTAAACAGAGCTTACATACCCCAAGTAATGCTTTCCTGCAGTCACACTTGAATGTAAAGTTCATGTTCGTTTAAAATGTGAAATATTTTCCGGTTTCTTTGTCTTGTGTTTTTAATTGTCCAACTTTATGTATCAAAGTGTTAATAGTACAGACGCAGCAAATCTACTTAATAATAATGATAATAATAATAATTTACCAAGAGGTAAAAGAAGAGATAATTCACACTATTCAACACACTTATGTGACATTTCATAATGTCCAGTGATTCAAGTGCTTTTTAGCTCCAATAGAGAATTCATTAATTGCACAACTCAATGCATGTAGACGTCTGAATGCAGTGGCAACAAGCATAAGAACGGGGGGAGAATGTGGATTTAGGTAACCTGGTGGTTGGAGGCTTGCCAGACGGGTCTGAATATTTCAAAAACAACATTTTGTGGGGATTATCTGTGGCTCTAAGAAAAAGGCCACTGAGTAAGTGTGTGTGTCTCAATAGGGACACACACACACACACACACAATAGTCCCAATGACATATTGCCATTGTAAGTATTTTCCCTTGCATTAACTTTGACTGTTTCATTTCTGTAGTGCGCAACGTTTACTTAGAGATGCTACCATGAGGAAATCCACAGCAGCATTTGAAACCGCTTTTTGCTTAAACCAGCTAGTTACTTTATGGGGTATAATGTATTTATAAAAGTATTAAATAAGCCCTATTTGTTAAGAATGCTGTTATTTATCCTTCTTGGTGCACTTCTTGGTTCATCAGAACTCTGTTTTCACAGTACTTTTTTTTTTTTTTTTTTTTTTAAGAAAAATGAAACTAATCTAATCGCTCCATATCTGTGGCTTACCAGTGCTTTACTGTTTCACCTCTGAGTTTCTCAGTCACTTTCTTTTTTTTTTCTACCTTCTCCACTTGAAAGTGTTATCTAATTTGCTGGCGTGATGTTTGGTTTTATTCTGAGACAAGTTTTAATCTTGGCAATCTGAGTTTTAATCTTGGCAATCTGAGTTTCTCTTACAGTTTGATGGAGGATTTCCAGACTCGTAAAATATCATTTCCTACTCCAAAGTGTATTGAAATATCTACTTAAACTAACAGATTGTTAGTGATAACCCAAATCTGTGACACACAAAAACACATTTTTGTCCTGTTAAACCAAACTCATATAAATATGACTTATAGTCATCTAAAAAAAATAAATAAATACTGTTTCAATAACCATCAACAACTGACATTCTCACTGATTTTTTATGGCTGAAGAGGGAAAGTGGAAGACTGTTGCTGTCAATTAGATGCACTAGATTAACTGAACAATCAGTAAATGTGACCACCACTATAAAAGCTGCAACTTTAGTTCTGCACTTTTAAGGATGAAATTAACAATAGTCTTACATAGCATGCTGATTAATTTCTTTTTGCATTTTTATATGTAAGAGTTTCTATGTTTGTATAGCGTAACATCTTTGAAGTCCCATGTTTTGCAGAATGAAAATATAACTTTAGTTCCTGTTACCACAGCATTTACAGAAGCAAACTCTCCTCCCGTGGTTAAGTATCCAGCTGCCAACATGACTGAGGAGGTTGAGCTTGGTAAGTGCGTTGATGCAGCTAAATTGACTAACATCAAAATCCTTGATTTTTTTTTTTTTTTTAATCACCGATTTTTTTATTTACATGATATAGACTATTTAGAATATCCCAGCGTAGTTGAGCCAGGCATTTTATACCTGTACATCTGAAACAAGTTGTTTTCTGTTTCAGGTCAGCCTCACAACCTCTCGTGTGAGGTAGACTTTGATTTTGAGGTAAACATTTCTCGAAAAGTAGAGTGGTTCATGAATTATGGCGGCGATATGGACAACATGACCCTGGTAGACACGGAGCGACATGAGTGAGTGAATAAGGGCACTTTCAACTCACAGCTTTGCTTTGAAATGGAAAGTAAGTTAATGTTCTTCTACATTCCAGAGAAGTCTTCTTTTCAGATATCAAGGTTACGCAGACGTACACCATAAAGGAAGTGACGCCTCAGCACCTGAAGCACGCATACACCTGCTTAGCCGGCAACACTGTGGGAAACAACAATGTCACAATTAAACTTAAAGAAAAAGAGCAAGGTAGCTCATTTGTGCTCCATTTGTTATGCATTTTCAATTCAGCATTTGAGCTTTTAAAATTACGTCGTCGCTCCAACAGCTGCATATAAAAAACAATAACCGAGTCAGCTACATCGGTATGACTGGGCGCTTTGGTTATTACGTTTAGTTTCCTTAAATCAAACTTGTGTGGGTGTGAACTGATGAAGCAAAACCCAAAACTAAAACCACGTGGATTTATAAAAGCTCAGATTTTGATTGAGAAGATAACATAATCATATCAGCTCAACAACAAAAGAATGCTATTCAGGTAGCTGCACCAAGATAAAAATATTATGGTTCATTTTTTGTCTGGACAAAATGTTGTAGTAATTATATTTTCAACTATAGTAGATAACAAGATTAAAAAAAATCCATTTAAGTTTTTTATTTGATTACATTTTTAAGCCAAACTTACCAATTTTTTCATTATTTTAGAAAATGTTCTCCATTCTCACTCAATCCCAAAGAGGCCAAAGTTCAAATCATTTTGCAGCTTTAGTTGATTTTTTAACGGATTATGTTTCATTTTAAAACCTTTAGCAAAAAACAATAATGTGTCATACTTGTTCATTATGCTAAAAAAAATGAATTGCCTTGTTGGGGTGCCAATAAGAAAATAAATAGTTTATCTGATTGTGTATTGTAGTAATTAAGCTACACAGTAATGCCATTTTAAGATGTGTGTGTGCTTTCATTCCAGGGAAATGGCGGTCACTGGTCGGTTATCCGTTTGGCTGCTTTCTGCTGGTCGTCAGCCTGGGAATCATCCTGCATGTGAAGTGGGTGGAATTACAGCTCATCTTCAGATCACGCTTCCAGTTTGGAAAAGATGATGGAGGTCAGAAAACACGCACACGCGCATGCTACGACTAATCTCATTGCTAAGATCTGACATTGTGAAATCTCGCGTTATTTTTATCAGGCAAATCGATGCAGTTTTCTGACAATACACAGGAATGTTGCTTATGATAGAGAACAAAATAAATTCCTACTTTAATATTTAAATATATATTTTTCTTACCTTGCAGAGAAGGAATTTGATGTTTTCGTGTCATATGTGTGGACTGGTCCATCAGCAGAGGCGGTAAAATGTTTGGCCATTTCCTCCAAGCCTTACAGTGACGCAGGAGGTATGAGCCGATATGCGTATCATTGTTTGGATTTAAAAGAGAACAAAAAAGCTCATGTTTTGTCTCCTCCGAATATCAAACGTAGAGATACAGAGCCGTGAGGAACCGATAGAAATGCGGCTGACCCGGGTGTTAGAGGACCAGTGGGGGTATCGCGTCTGTCTGCTGGAAAGGGACATTCTTCCAGGAGGAGGTAATAGCATCAGCTGCGTGTGTGTATCTGTCTCCACAAATGTTTCTTTTTTTTATTAATTATCTGATCTTGCTTTACAGCTTACACAAACGATGTGGTTCTCACTATAAACAGAAGTCGAATGCTCATCTGTGTCTTGTCAGCTAAATATTTCGCCAGCAGCAACGCTGTGTTTGTACTGGAATCAGGAGTCAAGGTAGGCCGGAATATTTCAGAGGGGTTTCTAAACCTATAGCTGCTTTTTTTCCCTTTTTTTTTTTTTTTGAGAGTGTACTACAGTGGAAACTGGAAAATAAAATAAAAAACTCACAATATTAAAAAAAATAATAATTTTGGCTCTTTGATCCGCCAGATAACAGATTCACAATTAGTCAAAAATGGATGGTTTTAAAAGGATAGTTTCTACATTCTCATAGAAAGTTATCAAATGATAAATTATGCTTTGAGATTTTGCATTGCACATAATTATTCAAAATTAATTCCACCTAAGTTGTTTCATTTACATACTTATCGATTTAAATGTTTTTGCATGTTTTTTTTTTAAATACCAGAAGAAGAAACGCAAGCTAGTACAATCCCCACTGCTTTTCATTCACAAGAATCTCTAGTTCAACATTTTCTACATAATTCCCCCACGCGCCCGCACAAAACTTTGTGGGCTTTTAAAGGAAAAAAAAGAAAACACCATAACTGTTACAAATCCAGTTTATACTCATCCTGAGAGCAATACAAAAACAACTTGGTTTCATTTTGTGGCTGTTTTGACATAAACTGAAACCGGTACCGGTGCAAGAAATCAAGAAGCTCACTCCACAACAAAACACAAAGAACCCTCTGTAGTTTCTGAATGTTTCAGTTTACCATCCTGATTCACTAGTGAAGTCATTTTAACCCCAGTGACTCACATCTTCTTCCACATCTTTAGGCCTTACTGCAAAACTCTGCCCTCAAGATGCTCTTGATTTGGACCAGAGGAACTTCGGCATCCTTCATCCAGCCAGAACCTCCACTGCCCAAACTGGTGCAGAGAGCCTTGAAGGTGCTTCCCAGTCTGCAGTGGAGCACAGACGCACCTTCCACGACCGCCAGGAGCTTCTGGATCTCTTTGCAGAAAGCCATGCCAGCTGACGGAGCGAGGCCGGCTTCACGTGTGCAATGAGAGGCCTGAGGTGTGGGAAAAACGTTTCCCCGCTGGAACTCATTATGCGTTAGTTTTCATAAACATGCGTCACCAAAAGACCGTATCATAAAGCTAAAGCTGAATCTGAAATGTAAATAAATATGTAATTTATCATGATTTCTCCTACTGCTGCAATAAATAAATGAAAACCATTTTTTTTAAATTCATACTCACTAGACATGACTGAAACAAAGACAACAGCAATAGTTGATATATTTTATTCAGAGATGTCAGAACGAATGGCTGCGTAATCCACAGAAAAATCAAAACTATACATTTTGGATAGTGGGAAAAGAGTTGAAGACACAACACACATGTTGATGAGTTAAATTCAAAAGGAAAATAGTTTTGGGAAAGTACCTAATTTTAACAAAAGGGCAACCAAGAAAGTGTGTATGGTAACGATTCAATGTTTAAATATTTGACAACAGAGAACATTTACTGCAAGCGCGACAAACTGGATTTCGGCTGCATGTTTGACAGGGCAAATGAGGCAGAAATTAAAACAAAAAGTGTTCTCATAGGTGAGGGAGTTGGTAAAAGCAAAGGGCTGTGCAGTAAAAGTGAAGATCTAAATTCAAAAAAGAATTTAATCTGAAAGCAAAACAAAAAGAAAATAAAAACCTACACTTAATAATTTAACCCACCGACTAGTTTGTGGATTAAAAAATAAAACATTGTCACTATGTACATTTTTACACCAACGTCAGACAAGCAACATGCTTGTTAGGATTAAACCATACCAGCGCATGGAGGAGGGAACAAAAACGGTAACAGCATGAGGACAGAGACTATCCCAATCATCCAATTAGCCAACAAAACAAAAGCAAGACGTAGCGAAGAAAAAAGTAAATTATTTTCTGGCCATCTTCTCCCTTCGTCATTACTACTCCACATCTCTGGAGACAAGAGGCACCAGGCAAAATGTCTCCTCTTGAGTTAAGATCAACCAGCTGTGGTTAAAAGCGTAAACACAAGGTGGAAGACTGAAAGTAGCCTTCACTGCTGTGCGCCAAGTTGTACAAACCGAGGCTGCAGAGACAAAATTGAGAGCCTTCGTAGATATCTCACATTAACAAGTACAAAAATGTCATTTAGTGACAGAACTTTGTGGCAGTGATTTACAACTTGTCAGACTGGGCCTTCAGCTTCCTCTCCCAGAGTTTCTGATTATCAGAGAAGCCCTGCTTGCCCTTGTTGAAGGAGTTGGGGCCTGCAGATGTTGGGGTCTCCCTGAAAAGATAAGTTTATCGTCTTAGGTCAAGTTAAGAAAAAGTTAACACACAAAAAAAATCTCCCTCACAAAATGTGTTTTTTTTTTCTTTTTGAAAAAAAAAAAAAAAAATATATATATAAAAAACTGATTTACTAAAACAAAAACAGGCAAAACTGTCACAGCTTTTGTACCTCCCAATGTTCTTCATCCTCATCTTTGCTTCTGGAGGCATTTCTTCTGGTTCGCTCTGCACAAGGGAAAAAAAAAACTAACATCAGCTACTTTTCATCGATTCCACTTCATATGACGTTTTTGTTTTTTTCCTGAGCGGGTACTTACATCATCATCTTCGTTAAAAACTGACACCAGCTTTTTTGGAGGAAGTGATGGCACTACCTCCTTGGGTTTCTAGAACCGGTCAGGGACAAAATAACAAAGTAAAATGGCAAAGCAGCATCACACTTCCTTGTTTTGTAAAGTAACAAAAAGACATCCTCATATTCAGTAAGAGTTAAGTAAAAAATATAAAATAAAAATAGTAATTAACCAACTTTAGGCTGTTTCAAAACACAAACACATGGAAATAGAATCTGCTTATCTTTATAACCCAAAGACATCAAAATTTCCATGGCTCAGACCTAAGTGTGTTCATTTTAAGGCTGTTCTGCAACTACTTTCACAATACTATCTGCACAAATTGTATTCTGTAAAGATATACTGCTCAACACTTACCGTTGCTCCTAGTTTGATAGAAATAGGGTTTGATTTCTTCGCCATTTTACTGCCCATGCTGAAGCCAATTTTGGAGGTTTTGCATGGTGCTGGTTGGTCTGCTGAGGACTCGTCCTCGTCTTCAGGGGTAAGATGCTGAGATGTGCGTTTGACAGCAGTCCCATCTGCCCCCCCAGTGCTACAAGAGACAGGCTTAGTTTTCACTCTGTCCTCCTCCTCCTGTGGCCCTGCTTGAGGCAAGACAACTCACCAAGGTGAACAACTGCTTTGTGGGATCTGGGAGTGTTCAAAGCTACAATTTAAGTTCTTATTTGCTTAGAATTCAGATTGCAAGTCTAATTTATGAATGTCACAGTTAATGGCAGTAGCTGATAGAGTTTACACCACATATGGAGCCAAGGATAGCACTAGGAAAACTGCAGATATTACAAACTAGAAGAAAACATGAATTGATACACTGAAGTCACTGCAGCTGCCATCTTAACAGTGACAGTGCTAGTCAAATTATTCTAGAATAAAAGGTTAGTTTCTTAAAAACATATTTCAAATGCCTTTAAACTTGATCATGCAGGCTTTCTACTTTATATCAAGGTAGTCACAATGTAGTGACTACCTACACTACATAGTAGGTAGATTATTTCAATGCCTTTTCCCTAACTAGGAAATGATTTTTGATTTGTTGGGGGAGAAAAAAAAAACAATGATCACATATGAAGAATTATATTAAAAGGTCTATTCAGGATTTGTGAAAATGAATGCACATGAATATCACTACTATGCAGCATAAACAGAGCATATTCTTAAAAAAAGAGCTAATCATATTTAATATACTACTATTACTACCGATGCATGGTTACCTTAAAACAAAAATTCATAGTGGTTTCAGTCAGATACAAACCATATAGATATGGTGTGATTTTAATTAGACACATTTTTCATCTGGCATTTAACACCAGCCAAATAAAAATGATAAAATAAAGCCAACAGCATTAAAAACTGAATGCAGTTGCTTATTTCATTATTCTTTTATCTAGCCATCAATAAATCAAAAAGTAATTTAATAGTGTCTCCAATTCCTCTTACATCAAGAGGTTTGCCTTGCAACTGCCTGTGCTAAGTTAGCTTAGCAAATTCTTAGCTTAACTTAGCAAATAACAAAAGACTACTGTTACCTAAACTCATGTAAATGATCAGTAATTCTCTTCGCTCATGGTGTGTAGCCTCATTAACACACTTTAAGTAACATTACTTGCAGCCTTAATCCAGCGTTAATGGTACTAGCAGTAGCCAGCTAAAGCTAACATGTAGTTCTCTCGTTGAAGTTCACAAAACGTCTATTTGTAGGACGAGCTTCTTTTAAGCAAACGGGTAGCACATCAATATACTATTTAACAGTTGTTATGTGTTAACTAGATTTTAAACATCAAAACAGCACAAGTATCACCTCCGTCGTCGGAGCTATTTTTCCTGACAGGCCTGTTATCCGCCATCATATCTTTCTCTGGCATCTGCCACTAGTCTTTATTTGGCGCTGTTTGATTTATGAACTTCACAATATTCGCAAAATAGAGACGAAGAAGAAGCAGCAGAAGGGGGAAAAAAACACAAAAATTATATCAAGCTAACTTGTAAGGGAAAGAGAGAAGCAGGTAAGAAATATTCAGTTACCAAGTTAAGAAAAACATTATGTCAGGGGATCAGTTTTAAGACATATAAAAGAAATTAAGACGGTAACTGCATTCCAGATTGCTTGAAAATACTGTCTGTGTGTTGTGTTAGCTAACCTTCGTTTTCTGTGGCACTGCTATCTTAAGGTAGCATGCGACTAATATCCTACATATTAATCCACATTATTACCAAATAATGTCGCATAATTTCTTTTTCGCTGGTATTTTTTTAAATCCACCCAGGGGTTTGAAATGTTTTACAACTTATTTCCTTGAGCCTTGAAACGTCACCTCTAATCGAAAAGGTTTGTTTGATGATTGAGTCATTACAGGGAAGGAATTCCTACATTTCTGGGTTTGAATAGAACTTGAAACAGTTTAAAGCATTCGGAATTAATGTATTTAATGCTACCACAGGCTTCAGGGTTAATTACCCTTCAACCAGCATATGTAAAACCATAGGCATGTGCCCTCTGTTCATGCATGTATTTCTAATTTCTTTATTGTTTCTCTTAGGTTCTTTGTAAAGTTTTTGGTTAAACAATGTACCAGTCGGCATGGGACAGGCCCTGTGTATATGCTCCCGTGGTTCCATCACCATTGATAACAAAAAGTACTACTTTGTCCAGAAACTGGATGAAGGGTGAGTTGACTTGATTGTGTTGTAAGGTTTCATGTCACCTGCTGTGCAACTTTATATTTATTGTAATGGATCTTACTGTAAATCATGCAAAATATAAGCTCTGTCTTTTACACAGCAGCCCTAATTAAGTTTTTTTTTTTTTTTAATGCAAACCCCAAAATGCGAAATTTCCCTTCCCCCCCCCCCCCCCTTTTATTGTCATGCTTCCTCTAACCGGCTTTCTCTCTGTCAATTCAGTGGGTTCAGCTACGTTGATCTGGTTGAGGGGGCAAAGGACGGACAGTTCTACGCTCTGAAGAGGATCTTATGTCATGATCGCCAGGCTCGCCAGGAGGCTCAGACGGAGGTGGAAATGCATCAGATGTTTAATCATCCCAACATCTTGAGCCTGGTTGCATATGCCTTCTCTGACAGCGGAGGCAAGACGGAAGCCTGGCTACTTCTGCCTTACGTTAGAGTAAGTCGATGCTGTAATTTGGAGGACGAAGGAAACTTGCCACAGTGTGATCCTGTTGTGATTTGTTTGTGTGTTTGTGAGCAGAAAGGAACCCTGTGGTCTGTCTTAGAGAAGCTAAGAGACAAAGGGAGCTCAATGCCAGAAAACCAGATTTTGAAAATCTTCCGCGGAATCTGCTCTGGTTTGAAGACTATTCATGACAAAGGCTATGCCCACAGGTAACGTCGCCCAACTTTCAGAGATGAGCAAATCGTATTTGTTGTAGTTTATGTGATGTTGTATGCATCCATGTGCCAAAACACAAAGCGCAAGTGGGTCTATGTAAAAGATATGATCACAGGAGGATTCCATAAAGAAATACAGATTAGTTTCACATATTTTTTTAGATGCAGTTGTTTTAAGTAAATATTCATTTATTTGGTCCAAGAAAGAAATAACCATCTGCAGAAACACTGCAAATAATTATTGACGATGGACATCATGGAGGGGCGATGTGAAGCGGAACAGCTAATCATATCTTGCATGTTAACACGCAGCCTGCCCAATATCATAACTACAGAAGTTGAGACTTATGCTCATGAACAGATTAATAAGATTAGTTTTATTCATCTGTGCCCAATCTGCTCGTCCATCACAGAAAAGCACGAGAAGAGTGATGAAGGCTTTTGATTATTGAAAACATAGTGTGATAAGAGTGATGTGTATGAATATTTGACAGCACTGCTGTGTAAAAACATTTAAATTAGCAAGTCTGCTGATGTGCTGGGTTTTTTTTTTTTTTTTTTTTTTTGTTTGCCAAAACATTCTAAGTTTGCCATTCCTACAGAATTCAGCTTTCAGTGTTTATAACTTTGTGACTGACTTGTGTGTAAAAAGCCGTCTGGTTATTATTGTCCACCATTTGTGTAATTTTATTTAAATCTGACAGGGATCTGAAACCCACAAATGTTCTCTTGGATGAGGAAGACCGGCCAGTTCTAATGGATCTGGGCTCAATGAACCGGGCAAGAATTGAGGTAATAGTGGACATCTATGGAAAGTTGGAAAATCTTTACTTATCAATTGTGAATATGTTCACATGGTGATAGCCGCCTATAAAATTATGAAGTTAATTTGATGTGATCAACAGACTGCAACACATGTTGTCACTTAGACACATATTGTCGCAGAGACAGAAGTGTTAAAACATAGTATATAGCTGCCATTAATTCATAAATGATGCTGAATACTCCAACAGGTTTTCTTTTTCAATAAAAGGTTCTGGTTTTTCACCACTAGGTGGCAGCTTAGCATTGTTGATGCTATTATAACTCTCCATAAGATGAGGCTCACATCCTAACATCTTCTGTCTTTCTGGTAGTTTTTCTCAGTGCAGCCATTGTACATGTATTTTGTTTTCAAATCAACAGCACCGTTTTTATCTGTTAATTCAGGGGGAAAAAAGCATTTCTCTTTGAATTCATAACTTGGATGTTCAGAAATGGTGTCAAAGATTGTATTTTAGTTTTATTTGTGCTGTGAACGTTGAAGTTTACCAGATTTACTTTTAGGCGTTACTCACCCTGTCAGGACTTTAATACTTATTGATCTGTTTTTTATTTTTTTAAATAGGTCAGAGGATCCAGAGAAGCCATGACTGTGCAGGACTGGGCGGCCCAACGATGTACCATTTCCTACCGAGCTCCTGAACTCTTTAACGTCGAAAGTCACTGCATTATAGATGAGCGTACTGATATTTGGGTAAGACGTCTTCCTCCCCGTTTTGAGCAAATTGTCCAGTTTATTTACTGTATTTAACTCTGGATCTCTCCGACGCTTGAAATAAAAGTGAAAATCTTTAGTTCTCCTTCTGTGTGTGTTTCCATAAACCTCCAGTCGCTGGGCTGCGTGCTGTACTGCATGATGATGCTGGAGGGCCCTTATGATCTGATCTTTCAGAAGGGGGACAGTGTCGCTCTGGCTGTCCAGAATCCAGTGACCATCCCTTCAACTTGTAGGTCAGTATTCAAACTGCAACAACAAGGATGAGCACTTACAACAGCATTTTCAAAGTTTTGTAGCAGTTGTTAACCAAGATTTCTTTACACTTCTTGCATTTTTCATCCACTACTTCCGTCTTGTACTGTGTCTTGTTGCTTTTGACGACTTCTTCCAGCAAAATAACAACAAGTAAAATTCTTGTCGTTTGTGATTCAAATCTAAACTATTAGCTCAACATTTGCATCACTGGAGGTGAATTAATCTTTTGTGTGTCTGTTTTTGATTCAGTTACTCCAACGGTCTCCAGACGCTGCTGAGCTCCATAATGGTTTCGAATCCCCAGGAGCGACCGGGCGTCGGCTGGGTCCTCGACCAGGTCCAGGACCTGCAGAGCCGCAGTCCAAACACTCAGACCAACATGGTGTGACTCCTGCGTGGTGCACTTCATGTAGGGCCATGGACACTTCACCACGTCAGCGTACCTTCGCTTAGTTCCACGGTGAAATCTCACCTTTTATTTGTTCTCTTAAAGTGTAAATTGCTTTTTTTTTTGTTTTTTTTTTATTTTTGTTTTTTTAAATCGTGACAGTTGCTATCTAATTAATTGCTTAATCCTTTTAAAGCAAAATTAAATAAATGCCTTAAATTGTTTCACACTCTAAAGTGCAATGCACTACCCTGTCGTTGGTATTAGGATAATTTCACTTTCTTTCTTTCTTGATGGCTGTTAAAGGGAATGAATAGTTCATGTTTTTCTCAAATGATCGGCATTTCATTTTAGCCTTTGAATAGTTCTGGGAAAAAGGGAGAGGTGTTCGCTGGGTTTACCAAAAAGCAGACAAAATCATTCATCATGTCATATCTTGTTGGCTTTATCTGTTCTGAGTAAAATGAATCCAAACCTACATTACGTAAAAAGGTCAATTTTGAGTAAATGGCTGGAGGATTTAGTTATTTACATCTTACAGGGTGCCACTCTGTCCTCCTTTTTCCAAAGCTAACCTGGGACAAATAGCCAATGCTGTATATTTAGTACCTGCAGCTTCCTGTCCTGCTTCAGTAAGCGATATATTGTAACGTTTGGGCACAGCAATGCAGTCGCTGCATTGCCATTCCAATGAAGCTGAAATCAGCTGCCAGCTGATTGCACTAATAGACGGCCTCAATTTGTTTCCTTTGACACACATAAGGCACGGTTGCTGTAGAGACCCAACTTTGTGAAGTTTGAATGCCTGATATTTAGCTCGAAATGTGTATTTTAACAAAGAAAATTATTTTATGTTTAATGGGAAAAAAATGAAGCAAGCGTCAATTTCTTGTTGGATATAGTTATAGTTTTTATGAATATTGTCATTATTATAGTCGGATAATATTGAAATTGACACTTTCCAGTGAATGAATGTTGCTTGAATTTAGCATGTTGGGTTACATTCTCTGTGAAAAAGGACTAATGTTTATCTGTTTCTCCTCAGTTTTGGTCCAACATCTGTTTTTAAAACATCAGCTGTTATTTTTAGACAACACCTTCACATTTTCTCTGTTTATAAACGCCATCTTTTAGCCCCAGTTGGAGTCACCAGTGCAGTGTGTGTCTACATAGTGCTGTGATTATTCATCTGTGTTTACTGACACTTTATTTACAGTTCCAGATTTCCATGTCTTACATCACAAGTAGGTAAAAACAACAAATCTGATGATTAGACCAAAGGTTATATAATCAAGAAAACGGCTTTTTAGATTCAGTAATCCCATAGAAAAACATATATTGACAGTATGTTGAGGCGGTACGGTTTATGCTAC